TAACGGGCCACTCTTCTGCTGTCGTGATCTTGTCTTTTTGGTTCATGGAGGGAAGCTATTAGACCAGTTGCCCGCATCAGAAAATGGATTGAAATGTCAACAAAAATACCCAACAAACATTGAGCTTGGTTAACAATTCGAAATCGATTGGAAATCCAATATTTTTTTCGAATTTAAATTTTATTGTGAGAGAGTGATTATCTTATATTTCTCTTCGATAATGAGTTGGGTTTCACTTTCTCTCTTGTTACTATGGTTTTAATTTTGTTTCGAACCTATTTCGAGTGTATTTCCAATTTACATTGAACGTTGAAAAACTAAGATTGGTTATGAGATCATCCTCCTTTCAATATTTATATTGGATATCGAAAGTAATTTTCGAACGTTGGACAAAATGTTTATAGGGTAGGAACTAATTTCCTGAGAAGTTATTTGGCTACGGTCCAAATGTACCTAAAATTTCGTGTTTGTACCGAATGTACCCTCAAAGTAAATAAAGGTAGGTACGATTGTACCAACTTTTCTATCACTGTAGCAACTAATTTCGTATCGCTAATTGCGCAGCTGACGTGTGCGAACACCAAACTCAATGCCGCAATTTAAACCTTAATTGCCTCAGCTAATTGGCTTATTTGAACATATTCTTAATAACAGTAGCGAAAATATCACATTGTGCTGTTGTTGTTGGGTAGGTTCAGAAGGCGCAGCAGTTGAGCGCAACCGTTGCTAAAAAATCAGTGACACATTAGCTGTCAAATGCAACTCTCAAAGGTACACACCTACTTGTCTCAAATGATCAGAAAAATATTACGATCATCTAACACGCAAATGTTCAGTTGATCAGTAGTACGCAACAACGCGTTCAGAAGGTGCAATCGCACCAGTTACTGAGCTGTTCCGCCTTCTGAACGTGCCCATTGGAACATTTTCTGTGAGCTGGGTTTGTCGACACGCAACGCCTATTGGAGAAGAGCGATTGAGAGCTACTGCAGTGTTCCTCAAAACTGGTGTATGAGAGGAATTTTTAATTTGATTCTTATGCGAATCAGGTTTCCGTTAGGGTTTTTTTTTTGATACCAAAACTGCAGTTTGGGTGCCTATGTGATTACAATTTCCGGCGGAAAATAAGGTTAACAGTTTTAAAGCTTAGCCATATTCGCTAATGCTGGCGGCAATGCAGTGCAAGCGGATAAAGCAGTGCATCTCCGAACTTCGCTTATTTTCGGTTGTTTTAATTTATTTTCTTATCGCTTCCGTTGTATGCCTCAATACCTTCTTTGCCTAAATTTTATCGCACAAATTTTTTCTTCTTCCTCTTCGCAGATTACTTGGATTGACGGTCTGGGCAATGTGCTCAGCAAAGGCATCGAATATGTGAAAGAGCCATTATCAGACTCGAGACGCATAACAGCCAAGTCGATACTGAAGTTGGCACCGAAGAAAGAGCATCATAATACGACTTTCACATGCCAAGCGCAGAATACAGCGGATCGCACATATCGCTCTGCCAAAATACTAATCGAGGTGTGTGAGGCGGCATGAAATTATTTTTGAATTTTTATTCGTTTCAATGCAAATTATCTCCCTGAATTTAGGTCAAATATGCACCCAAGGTAGTGGTATCCGTTATTAGCGGCGCCTTGGCTGGTGGTCGTATTCTCGAGGGCTCCGAAGTTATACTATCTTGCCAAGCGGATGCGAATCCACCGCCGCAGAGTTATCGTTGGTTCATAAACGATGAATTGGTGACCGGTGATTATACAACGAAAATGGTGAGTTCTGTACATTCATTTCGCTTTCTATTGAGAGAAAAACTCATTGCTTTACTTTATTTGCTTGCAGATCATACACAATGCCACGCGCCAGCATCATGAAGCTGCGGTTAAGTGCGAAGTTGTCAATGCGGTGGGCAAAAGCGAAGAGACTGAAACCTTGGACATCAGCTGTGAGTATTAGAGTTTTAGTTATATTTTTTAGATAGAGGTGCACAGTAGAGCTGTCAAACTATCGATAGTCAAGTCCATCGATGTTTTACGATAGTCTTAAAGGTGACTATCGATACTATCGATAGTATCGACCCATTTCATATGTTTTTCTAAATCCATTTATTTTTCGTTATCTTGCTTTTATAAATTTGCTCATTTTAGCGGCTCACGGTTGCATTTTAGTATCGAGAAATATTGCTAGAAATTCATTCGCCGTGTAAACAGTCAAAAAGCAATTTCAGAAATTTTCCCTGCAATTCGCCTTTCGGAAATAAAAAAATTTCTTTCAAAAGACACTTTACATTGAAGGTGCCACTGCTCATGCAACTGCTTTCTGCAATTTCTCAATTTGACAGTCTTTTGAAATACATATACTGCGTTGCCGGTCTGACATGCTCTTAAGACGGCAATGTAACCTCTGCTATTTCCACGCTTAAAATAAAAAAATGGCGCTTTTAGAAATAATGCCATGAACCAACTAAACAGATAACTAAGCACGACAACCGCGTATTTTTAATTGCATTTGTGAAAAAAATAATAGTTGATAACGTAAATTTTTAATCGGTTGTTTCATTCACACACCAGGTTTCATTCCGTTTCATTCACATGGCGGCGAAAAAATGACGACACTGCAAAAAAAAACTTCTCGCACACCGTCGTGGGTGAACTTTATTCGTTCGTTCATGAAATAATGCTGCCAATTTTTGTTCTCTTTGAACCAATACGTGCAAATATCAAAAGCGCTAGGAAGTAGAATACGCTATTAATGAAACGATAGTGGCGATAGTACTAAAACTATCGATACTATCGATAGTATCGTCGATATTTTGACAGCTCTAGTGCACAGATCTGTAAAAAAACAGAGCTTTTTGAAGGGGGTTGATACCTCCGACGCGGTGAGAAGATGCGCCAACAATGCAACCAATTTGTGTCGAAACAAGAAATGGTGAAAACTCGATGTAAAGAGCGTTTACCTTCTCTCATCGCTCACGATTGAGAGAAATAGAGGTTGCGCCAATCACGGTACCGCTATTCCTCTCTCAGTGAATTTGACAGAATCGTTGTTTGTATGACGTCACACTTGTGCAACTTGTTTACGTTTTCCTTGCAACATTTTTTCTTCTTCTTCCATTCTTGCTCACGTTTTGGCATTTCTCTCTCGCAATTGCACCAGTGTGACGTCACACAAAAGTTATTCTCAAAAATCCTCTCTGATAGGCGCAATCTTGTATTCTATCATTCTTGCTCATCGCCGTTGTTTTTGCACGTTAGGACACCTCAGTGATATGCAACAATTGATGCCTGAGTGAATTGCAGTTCCCAAGCGCCTTATGAAATAATTTGTTTTGAATGAACGTTGCAAGTATCTTTGAAATCATACAGGGCGATTTTCAACAGAAACTCCTTGGGTGTTTCCTCTCTTTTCCTTTTTGTCCTATCATGAATAAAAATTCCCTGAGATTTTTTTTTTATTTATACGGCGGAGCTGAGCTGTAAAAAAGTGTCAAAGAGATTTTTCGTAGTTCGATTTTCCTCCTCCAAAATTTTCGGGGAAAATGTCACTCCCTGGGAGGTAATTATTGGAGGATTTCTTTACCGGGAGATACAAATTTCCGGAGACCAAACTCCCCGGTAGTATTCAGAATTGGACTGATAGTCATTGCATAATAGGCCTTGGAGGCCGCAGGAGGTAATCGCCAACATCCGATTGCCACATTTTCTGTTCGGATTCGGCGTAAAAATTTAGCTGACCTTCATTTGAGTGAAAGCTTCAAAACGCACACCACCAATTGGAGTAGAAGCTCAGCTAAAATGTGAATGCTAAATATTTATTTATTTTTTATTACAATAGATATCCTACTCTTAGTCGCGATTTCACTTTTCTACACTACATATCAATTTAGATTTTAAAGTACCCAAAAACTTAGTTGGGCCAACTTGTGGTCGACCGGGAAGCCCAAACTTGAGGCAAAGAAAAGCAATAAACTAGTATAGTAAAGCAGGTATGCGTGGAGAGTCATTGCTCTTCTGTAAACTTTCCGAAATCTTTCTGGGAGGTTAGTAGTTTGTCGAGAAAAAGAAAATGTACCTTGTTTATTCCCAATACATCTGACCCACAGATGTGCCGTGGCAGTCTAACGAACGTTAGAGGTCTGCTAAGAAAGTGCTCTGTACTATCCTCGTCTTCCGAGATAAACTTGTGTACTGGATCGTCGATGATACCTATGGCGATCCTATGTTATCCCCATGGATTTTGTTCGATAACCAGTTCTATGAAAGCTCGAACCTCCTCCCGCCTCTGGAAAATTATTTTTCCTAACCTTTTCAGGACACACTTGCGAAACTACCACGCAGGTGATGTGCCTGACAGTTCGCGCTTTACTTCGCCATATACATACATAATTGGCTCCGGTACAGTTTTAAAGATCCGCAGTTCGCCAAATCATCAGCCAGTTGAGTGCTTTGAATACCAACCATATACAGCCGCAACTTACATTATTGATCGATTTTTGGTCGGGTATGGGTAGAACAGTTTAGCTGTCACTGCGGACCACTACCTTAACTAAGTATTGCCAATAAACCTAAAGCTAATGCTAGTCGACTCTAGTTCTGTTTACCGTCTTGAGAACGTCAGTATAGTACATTTTTAGCGAGCTCCCCAAGAGAGTTTCTGGATTTCTTCATTCTTCTCTTGAAAAGAAGGTATACCTATATAAGAGCGTATTTTCTACCAAAGGACATTCCAGATATGAGTTTGTCATTTGCACTTTTTCTGATAAACTTCCAAACAACTCTCTGGGTCCGGAACTCTGATTGTCATGCCATAATTCAAGCGACTGAGATCGACAATTTCGACTCGACATATCGTCTCTTCTTAGGCTTTAAATCCAGGGTTGGAAAATCACACAGGGCTTTAAAAGCACAAACATACACAGCTCTTTTTACATACGTAGACACTATGTGTGATGACCACAAGAAAAGCCCCAATCTAAAGTTACCAGGAGATGTGTTACTTCCAGGAAAATGTTTGGGTTTACGCCTGTAAGCATCAGCACGTCGACGCTTTCGAATTTTCTTTTCTGCGTAAACTATTCTGCAAGTCTACCATTAATCGATCTTATTCAGGATTCTCTGTGACTTTACACAGACCTCCCTGGGTTATTTTTCAGACGCTACTACACAAACATCACCCACGTAAGCATTTCTCTAAACAGGGAGTCCTCTACCAAACACCACAAGAGACACAAAACCAAATATTTCGAGAACGAGAACGAGACAAGAGACTGGTTTCGGGCCAAAAAATTGAAAATTTAAACCCTATCTAAAGAAGCTAAATTTTTTTTCTTAAAATAATCTTTTTCTTTCAGATGGTCCTATCTTCCGACACCGTCCCATCTCTGTTGAGGCAGATCTCGGCACCAATGCCAATTTGCGTTGTGACGTAGATGGCAATCCGACGCCAGAAATCGAGTGGATCAACGAGAATACCGATCAGGTACGTATATTCGTCTCAAACTACAACCTTTAAATAATTCTCTCCCACATAACAGGGTAAAATTTTCTCTCATTAATGTTTTTTAAATTATTTCCAACAGGTCGTTGGCACTTCGGCGAATCTTACACTTAAAGTGACAGCTGAGTCTGCTGGCCGTTACTACTGTAAGGCAATAGTTTCCGGATTTCCAGAAATAGGCGCCGAGGCAACGGTTTTTGTTAAGCGTGCACCGATTATCACCTCGCATAAGGTGCAGTTCGGTGCTGTGGGGAGTCGAGCGAAAATCGATTGTGTGGCTTTCAGTGTGCCCAAAGCAGAGCAGATTATTTGGTCATTCGATGGCAAGGTGATAAATATGAGCACTGCCGATCCAGATATATACATTTTCGAGGAACAACATCTGCCAGAGGGTGTGCGCGCGGCGCTAATAATCAAAGAGAGTCGCTCCAGTCATTACGGCCGCTACAATTGTACGGTGATGAACTCATATGGTAGTGACTCATTGCTGATCAATTTAAGACCAGAACGTGAGTTATAGAGATTGAAATGAGCTTTTGTGTTGTTTTTATTGAAATTTCTTTTCCATTTTCTTTTCCAGCTGGTTCAGTGCCCGTGCTGCTTGTTGTTATGGGCTCACTCTCCTCGGTCGCCATTGTCATAATGATTGTGATGCTGGTGATTGTTTACATGAAACGCAGTAATAAGAAACCCATGCCGGCGGATGTCATACCGGATGCATCACGTGGTGGTGATAAACTTTCCGATCTGAAGAACGAATTACGCAGCAAAGCTTATGATGTTGATTACTCAGAGGCGGGCTCTGATGGTTTGGCGATCAATCTGACACAAACGCCAATGCCTGATGTACAAATGAAGGGCGCCACGCTGGGTGTGCCACTGGCGGGGCCAGTGAAGTTGGACGACAGGTGAGACTCAGCGCATTCCTTTTATGGCAAGGAATTTTTAATAAAATACTTTTTATCATGCAGGTTCTCCGGCGAATTCAGCTACAGCCGCCAATGCCACATCAAAAATTTGAAGAATCAAGACTACAAAGAGACTGTCAACGGTTATGCGCCCTATTTTGAGTACGCGCTCGACTATAGTGCTCCCACGGAGAGTGGCAAGCCCGGCGGCACGGCTAACAGCAATGCCAATAAGCCCCAGTCCAGCACAATCAACTCGGCCACTTTGCCGCACTACACAAATCCCGTCACAACAACTGGCAACCTCAGCTTGCCACGCAACCGCAACGATATGCAGCAGCAGCCGCAGCAGAGCACC